CAGGAATAAATTACATTTCAAAATATATTAAAATAGAAAACAGTTGCAAGGTAATAACATTTCACATTAGTACTGTTTTCACCGTTTTCATTTTTTCTCTCTCTCCTTTTATTAGAGTGAAAATATTACTACTGCTCTGATCGGCAAGCAAAAGCCTTGGAGAAAAAAACAATTAGTGGGTAACAACTATCGTAGTTTACTATTTCACTGAATGTTTATCCAAAGCAACTTACTGTACATTTCTTACAGTGCCAGTCCCCCTGGGGGGTTTATGCAACCTCGATATAGTGTTTTTACATGGAAAGCGGGAATGTGATAAACTGTGGCGTTGATGCTACAAAAGACAAAGACAGAAGCTATGCATGCTCAGAAAACTTCCTCATGTGGCTTTGTTTGACTAAGTAAAACCGAGTCCTATAGATCCTCCATTCATTGCGAGTGAGCTAGCCTCTTTTCAGCCGTACCATGAGTTATTGCATTGTCCTTTCTAAATGGCTCTGTAGTCAAGGCTTTGTTTTGTTATCTCACACAACCACTAATATTAGGCATTAGCTGCTGTTTGGAGCCTTAGCTATTAGCATGAGGGTTCCACTATGCATCTGCTTTGTCTGCTCTTCCCTGTGGCTGCAGGCACAAATAGTGAGATAATGCAAGTAAAAGCCACAGTGTGGTATATACGCTGTTAACCCCTCTCAGCAGCCAAGATAAAGTGTGTACTTTAAGAGCACATTAGCTGCAAAAACAGTCCTCGCATGGAGGGAAATAGCGCTGTCCCTTACATGCCTCTCTCGCTTCGTCGTTCTCTGAATTCTTGTGACATTGCTAGCAGGAAACAATACTTCTCAAGGACGTGAGCTTAATTCACCCTTGTTACATTATGTTTATTTACCCAGCAGAGTGCGGGGGCATTAATGTTGAGATCAAATCAAAGCCAGACAAAGCCACACACACATACAGTAAAGAAAGGGCAAAAAGGGGCTACAGTGCAATGAAACTTTGATCTTGTGCAAACAGAATTTAAAGTGTCCAAAGGTCCCAGAATGGACAAGCAGATTATATATATA